GAAATCTCTCTCTCTCTCTCTCTCGAGTTGTATACATGTATGTGTATATATATATATATATATATTTTTACATGTATATGGGCATGTGTATATGTATATATATATATATATATATATGTATGCATTCATTTATTTATTTATATCTTTCACTGAAACTGTCTGAATCTATCTGAATCTATATTAAATATAATCTATCTATCTACCTATCCATCTATCCACACATCTGTCTGTGAGTGCCCAGCTCCTGAAACCAAAGCAGCAGACTGAGGTATGCACGATGCTTCCAACGGGCGAGGTTGCCACCTGGCGCTTGGCGGTTAAAACATGCCGACGCTTTGCAGCTTAGTTCCGGGTCTAGGGAGTTGCTCTCACGTCTACTTGCCCATGCCTGCCGGAATTTGTTGCAGGATGCCAACACGGAGATCGCGGATGAAATTGCATCAACAACCCTGGACCAAGAAAGCAAGGAGCAGAGCATGAGAACCCCGTAAACCAAGCTGGCTTGCCAGCATGGGGCCCTGCACGCAGAGGTCTCCACCCTGGCAGGATGTTTAGAGACGGCTGGAATTATGCTAACATTTGGGTGCACACTGCGGCGAGCTCTGCCAGACGTGGCCTGCTTCACCGGGCCCCACATCACAGGCCCTCCGTAGCGAGTGCCTGAGGGCCAGCGGCTCCGCGGAGTGCTTGGGCGGCGAGGTAGCAAGAATCGCCACTTTCTCGCAGGACTATAACCCTCGACACCCCTCGCCCCTGAAACCCAGAAATCCAGATGCACACGCACAGAAGCACAAGACAACAGTGCAACGGCAACGTCGGTTGATTTTGGCAAGTCGCAGGCATTGGGCAGTGGATTGCTCGCGCCGACCTCGTTCAGCTCAGGGCTCAGGGGCTCAGCGGGTAGGGTAAACAAGTATCAGGAGATGTTAGGAGCTTCGGGTTCGACTTTCAGGTCCAAGATCAGGCGTCCTGCATCTCATACCCCCACACGGCGAAATCCGTCCGTTCTGGGTCGCCCCAGCGAGGCTTTCCAGCTGCTCCGCGCCACTGGCGATCACGGACACCGGCAGCCTGGGCTTCGGAAATCGCCGGAGGACACTTCGAGAAGTTCAGGGACACCTCTGAAAGCTTGGGCTTGGCCTACCGGCTTGAAGGCTTTCCCGTCAACGTAGGACATCAGAAGAAGCTTGCTGAAGCCAATTGAAGCAGCAGGATGAAGAGAAGTCGGTGCAAGCGCATGGCGTGGCGGCGGCGTCTTCAGACTCGGCTTCCCTTTTTTCGGGTGGGTCGCAGTGAAGGAGACGACAGTCTAAGTCGCTGTGACAAGGCTTGTGCAGGCCTCCAAGGGATTTAGATCTCACAGAAGTCGACTGCATGGCTCCCGGCTCCATTTGCAAACTGCTGAGCCAAAACATGGAGAGCACATGGGCTTCAACTCCACACGGCATGTCGTTCAGAACGGTCAGATTCGGACAGGGCCTGTTGAACTACTTCTCCTAGGCAACTGGGAACGGCAAGGCCCCTAGTCATCATTACAGCAAGCTGTCATGTAACCTCGACCAATATCGCTGCGAACTGTTTGATGTCGGTGGTCAAAGCCGACGGCCCAGACTGATCCTGGCAGGGAAGCTCGGAAATACCTGGGCTTTGTGGGATTATGATCCTACTCTACTTAAGACTTAAGGCTCAAGGCCTATAGCCACATCCTCAACCACAAGACTTCGGGATCCGCCTGCATTGGACCCAACCTTGGTGGACAGGGCGACTGTCACGGTGGCAAACCTGGACACCTGAGGTAAGTCTCGCAGTCTGACAAATCGTAGCTGCTTTTATGTCACACGCGCACGATTTGACTAACCCAGCAAGCTGTTGCGATGAACCTCCCGAACAACCTTCGAGGCACAAGCTTCGCATCGTTCTATTGGTTTCGTCTGTGGGATCCCTCCAACCCACTATGAAAGCACGTTCACCTGAGGACATCGCCGGGTATTCAGCACCACAGGACGCTGGAACTCCTGGCGGGGCAGGATCGACCGACCCTGAGACAAGTGCTCTGTTCCATTAGAGTTCTGTGTTGGGCCGGGTGTAGAGTTTGTGGGTGTTGCCCCTAACCCCCAAACCCCTAAACCGCAGGTCTTAAACCCTAAACTCCTTAAAGGATCTCGAGGTGCTAATTTGCTCCGCAAGCACCAGTCACAAGGTACGTTCATCCTCCGACCACTAATTAAACCTAATCTGGGGATTGTCAAGTTTCGCGACATGGACTACTTGCAGAAGCTGTTTTTGCCGACTATGGTTTCGTGGTTGGGGCGGGGGCGCGCATGCCCTGAATAAGGCAACCTTTCGACGCCGCTTCAGACACAAATGCCTACTGATCTGCACAGAATGAGACCAAGCTCTCGACAGTAGTGATTGGATGACACTCCCGAGACCAAAGAAGTTTTCCAGGGCGACACGGACAACTCGCGGCCTTGGCCAGGAAGAGCTCCACGCAACACCAGGCCTCCCCACGCAGCGAAAAGCTACAAGCGGCGCTGGTAACACCTACGAGTACGAACACCCTGAGAGTAGCATGCGCCACATGAGCCGATCTGCGAGTCGCAGCATGGCCAAGGTCCGAACTCTAAGGAGCGAAGTGCCATCAAGGCCCGTGCCTCCAGAGCGGCGCGCTTCGATGACGTGGTGAATGTTCGCATGACTCTCACTGGTAGATTCATCTTTCCAAATCTGGAATCACATCAGGCTCCGGACTCAGCAGCACGGTCTTGATGTTGCTATTGGCCAGGGTCTGGTAGACTGGGAGATCCTGCCATTGTCGGGGGCTTTGGAGCTCAGAACAAGCTCAGGATGCAGGACAGCAGGACCGGAGTCCTTGGAGCCCAGGGGGTCGTTTGGGAGTTCTGAGCAAGGTCCAGAGACTCAGAAAAGAAGCACGGAATGATCCGGAAATATCCGGAATACGGCCTCTCCAGAACTGGTGCCATGGAGGCTGCATGTGCACCACAAGGGCTCGGTGCCATGAGTTTGAAACCATCTCAAGCTCGAGCTGTCGAAATTTTGCCTGGCATGATGTCAGCAACCGTCCTCGAGGGATTTGCCCTTGTCGTCTGACCTCTGAAGGCGCATCCGACTGCAGACGAGGGTTTTCCTGTGGTTCCGACATGTTGCCAACACATTGAACCGGGGAGACACTGAGCCCGCGCGAAAAGCCTTCACAGACTTTCTTGGATCGAAGCAGCAGGCAAACTTCTCCGCTTGACCAAACTAGCACGTCTTCGCTGAATCTTTGCACTTGTGTAAGCTTCTCCGAGCACTGAGTTGCAGAGCCAGAGACTGCAACACACAGACCCACGAGGTTTCATGTGTGTCGCATCCTCTTCTCTCGTATCATGCAAACCGTGCGGCATAGGGCCAGGCCTGCGGAAGTTTAATCTGTTGACTTACAGACTTATGCGATGAAACCAAGTTCTTAGATTCGTGACCCACGAAGAGAGGAGAGAAGCCGCAATCTACCCCACGACTCCGGCAAGAAGCATGATACTCCTCGGGTGCTGGCCACATAGAGTCCGAGAAAGCGTGGATGAAAAAGCTGCAGCCGCGGGCGTGCGTGGCAGCAGCATCCTGGCCAGTGTGCCGCGATTCAGGATCACTTTCAGCCGCCCTAAGCCTACAGAGGTTTCTGACCAGAACAGCTGCGAAGTCTCCTGAGGCAGCGCCGGAGACTCCCGAAATGTCAAGGAGACCTCAGCCATGGCAGCAATCCTTGAGACTGGGATGTGGAGGAATGCGTCGCCTGAAACAGGATCGCTTGGCGCAGATTTAGAGAGCTGCAAAGCATAGACGGCCCGTCCTAGTATGCAACAATGTAACAACACCGCTAAATGTCTCCGTAGAACTCGCCGAAGCGAGTCACATGCGAAATGAGTTCAAGAAATGGTGTGTCTTGTATGCCGAAACCGAGCGGGCGGCGGCGAAGCGAGTCAAACCTTGCTGGAGGCCGCTGGAGTCGATTCAAGATCCAAGCATCTGACTTGCTTCTGGGTTCGGCAACGCTGAAAGCACTGCGAAGCAAGGGAGCCGTCTTGCAGGAATCGCTTCAACTGCAGGCGCGTCAACTGGATGAGCTAGAGTTGCTTTACTCTAAAGCCCAAGTCAGGACTTGGAAGATAGGCCTGGGCTTAGAGGCTCCGAAGAACTCCGAAGAACCTTCGCACCCCGTCTCTTCGACTCACTCCGAAGCAGAGCGCCCGGGCCTTGGATGAACTCACCGAAGTCTTCCGTCCAAGCGTGGCTGACGAAGATCTCCTGCTGCTTCTCTGTCCAACAATGGCTTCCTGCTTTTGGAAGCATTCTGATCGTGTGTCAAGTCAATTGGCCACAAGAATCCCAAAGCTTCGGTTGAGAGCATTTTCCAACAGTTGCTAGCTCACAGCCCTGAGGTACTGTTTTAGTGCTTGTCATGCTGCCATCTCGTTCTCTTATCTTCCTGCATCTTGCCATTCGGGAAGGGCCCTTCCCAGAAAGCCCTGCTTGACGATAGAAATGTCTTGAAACGTCAATCTTGCTTTCACGACCGATACTAGAAGAGTTTCTCAGGTGGTGATCGCTGGAAACTTTCTTCGCACTTGGGATCCCGACAGCATCCACCGGCTCCGTGCTCCAGAGCTCTGCCATGGAGCACCTTCGCTCCTCTGTCAGAGGCCTGGCACAAACTCCTCTTGGGCCCTGGAGGCTGTGGCGGAGGCTGTGGCGGAGGCTGTGGCGGCTCCAGCAAAGCATGGCAGAGGCACCGAATGAAGAGCTTCTCCACCGCAAAAACGTTCGGGACTCGGCATAGTGACCGCATCGCACATGCTTCAACTTCACACGCCCACAAACCTAAAGCCTTAACCTGACCACAAACCAATCCCTAAACCATGAAGCAGAGAGCTCGAAAACGACCAAGCCCGAAACTCTGCGACCCGCAAGCCAAAATCTGCAACCCTGTCTCCGGGGCGCGAGCGCAAAGCCCTGAGCCTCTTCTTCGCAATCTCAGCCCGATTCCTAAAGTGTGTTCATGCTTTCTGTGTGCGTTACAGGGGGGTTTCGTATTATATGCTGGCAAATACCTGTTTGGGGATGATGTGAAACTGTGTCGCTGATGACCTGAAGGTCTTTATAAAGGCCTGAAGTGAAGTCTCAAGTCTGGGTTTGGGGCTTAAGGGCTGCGGGGCTCTTCACGGCCAAAAGCGGACCACCCTCTCAAGGTTCACGATCGAGCAATAAGATTCCGAGTGGGCTTTCGACTGTCCGTCAACCAAAACGGGGATCATCGCTCAGGGCTTCTAGGTATCAAGATCTCAATCTGGTTTAGGGCTCAGGGCAGGCAGGGTCCTCACTTGCACATCTGGACCCTTCTTGTGTGTTGCAAAACCGTGTCAATCGCAAAAGACCACAAAGGTGCAGCACCTGTTCAATCCTTACATGCCTAAAGCCCCTCATCTGCCGGGCCACTCTTGGTTCGTCTGGTGGCATTTGCGATTCAGCTTGGTCGCGACGCACAGCGGTCTTCGCCAGTCGTCGTCGCTGCCAAAAACTCGGCTTGGCTTCAGCAACCGCAGAGGCGAACAACATTCGACAAGGACAACCAGGTGTGCGAAAGCAGATACCGTAATGAAAGGAAGAAGCTGCACATAGCTGCACCCCAAGCTGAATTGGTGGCTTTCTGTGCGCTGCATCCTCGATCTCTTCAGCTACTTGTATGTGAATCGCTGTCGGCGGGAGGAGGGAACTTCAGCCTAGACTATTCAGAAAGTTAAAGCCTCGTGCATGAAGAGCCCGCGAAACCTCAACTCTCGTGATCCTCTCGCAATGCAGCACAGAAACAGGATGGCTCGAAACTCACCTCGGAACGGCATTAGCACAAACATCGTCAAGCAGACTGTCCGACACTTGGGCAACCCAAGGACTGCGAATTATGCTTCATCTCTACGAGTGCTAACTGAGTCCGGCTTTGTGAACTCTTGCTGCGCCTCCCCGTCTGGAAGCCCCAACAAGTCCAACTTGCGGAGACATGCCGAGATATGCCGAGCACAGCCGTGCTCCGCCAGTTACAGCTAGCTACTCCCCAAGGAACTGACAGCAGCGCACCTGCAAAAATCTTGCCAGCAAGGCACCTCTCCGCAATTTTCTACGAAGAAGTCGAGCAGGGAACCTTGGTCATCACAGGCGCTGCAACTGGCAATCACAACATCAACAGCAGCGATTTTTAGCCGGGGTTTCACCAGCATTTCGGCTCGTGAAGCGCATCCAAGCGCAGAGTCCGGAGCAATCGAACAACGAGTTCGACAAAGAACTCCGAGCACATTCCTTCTCTGAGCCAAGTCTTGATGACCAAAGCCTCAACCTTGTAACCCCCAGCCCTGCACGTCCTGCGCCCTAAATGATGAGCCCCGCGCGCTAAATCCTTGTCGCAAGAAATCCCAAGTCAGAAGGCACGGGGAAATTTGGGGAACGTATGAGGGTATACTCTATTATAGACTGGTCCGAGCCAGTACTATATAGGATGCACGGAAAACCACATCTGGAAAAACAAAACGCCTGGCAAGCGGCGGCAGTCCATCCCAATAGCAGAACGTTGGTTTGAGTTCGGATTCCAATAGAAAATTCCGATGCAAACCTAAACTTGCTCTGCGGCCAAGCTACCCAGTGTCACACCACGCTGCCATGCCTGAGGACAGTTTGGGGCTTGAGTCCGTGCATGGCTGATGTGTACGTCCGCGCGCGCCCGCGCATGTGGGTGCGGGTCTGAGCTCAGGATCTGATACGTGATGTCTGCTCGGCTTCTGTTCGGCTATGCTGTGTGAAGAGGCACTTCACTTCAGGCTTCAAGAGTCGAGACCATGAGCAAGGAAGCGACTGAAGGAGGAGAAGCTCACCAAGCCAGCCAGCCATCACGACAACAAATTGAAACCAATGACAACAAATGCGCCGCTGCAGCAGCCACACAACCTCCGCCACAAGAATAAACAAGGCAAATACAGCAATCCCGGTGACAGACTACCAGCCGGCCTCTTTGATGCGGCCGGGTGCATCGGGCGCGTATCGTCCCAGGGACGTATCTACGTCCTCCGGTGGGTCTTTCCGAACCGACTTCACCTCAAATCCGCAAGTCCCCAAAAACAATACAGCTGTGCTCCCACTGCAAAACGGTGCTGGCAGGCTTCACGGTTGACTGTGGAGCTTCAGGGGGGGGGGGGGTTGCAACAGGTTGGAAATCTTGCTGGCTGTTGATTTGGCACGGGAAATGGTCAATGCTCATTTCACGAAATTCCAGCAATCACGAAGAGGAATCCAAAAAAACTCTCACAAGGCTGACACCAAGTCTCTGTAAGGCACTGTAGGCCCTAAGCCAGATTAGAAATTCAACCAAAGCAGATGCCTGACTCCAGAAGGTTGCCCCTCCCAGGGGTCCTGGCGCCGTTTTCGAACGGTGATCGCCTTTCCACACAAGCTGGGTAATATGGCAAGCTCCCACTCAGCCGAGGGCATGTATGATCATCTATGTCTGTAACCCGGTCAAACAAGGCCTTCTCCTCAAGTTGGTGCTCTTGACTCTCGAGTTGGGCCAGGCGAGCGCGAATGCGGCTCACTTCCTCGCGGGGGAGAGATTGACGGCTAGATTAAAGGCATCAAGGGGGTTGGGAGTTTAGGCTTT